CATATTTGGTTGGGCTGTACTTTACTGCCCAAACAGTGGCAGAGAGTCAGTTGGCAATATGGTTGGCAACAACTCGTCTGCTGTCACTTATAAAATGGTCTCAAAGAGAAAACACTGAAAAAGTAAGAATGAATCTTTGATTTTGATAAGTTATTTGAGCCATAGTCATGATGGGTATGGGGAGGTCAAAATGGCTAATTTTGTACATGAAAAATGATTTTGTTAATATTCACAAAAATGATGTTAGTTACTCATTTCCACTGTACATTATTTAAACTAAAAATAGAAGGTAGCTTAAGTTTACTTCTTTGCGAAAGGAGTTCATTGCTTATCAAAAAAACATATTGACTTCAATATATTCTGAACTTCTCAAACAAATTTTAGCACATGACAGTTTTATCCAGTATTTCAAAGGATGTAATATATGACTTTATTTTATTTTTTTTATGTAATTTTTGGCACTATAACATATGGCACTGCTTAAATTATTTATATAATATGTTGGTTAAATCCCTTTCCTTTCTTTTCTTTGCAAGCCTCCCGGAAATCAAAGAGATAGTCTGAGGAAGCTCTGCGAAAACGTGTGCTGTCCTCACTGGAAGTATGGTTGAATAGATATGCAGTGTGCATGTAGTGTTTAGCATCTTTTAAAAGACAGAAGCGCTTAGAAATATTTAATAACTTTATGTAAAATGCTTTTTATTGGGATCTCATTACAGATTTCATTAACCTCAACTGACTCAGAATTTGTAGTGTCTCTGCAATGAGAATAAGGGCTCTCATTAATTTATTTAGCCATTCATTCATTCCATAAGTACTTCTGTTCAACCAATGTTCAAAGCACATCTTGAGCCATAATAGAGGCAAAAAGTTTAAATGGTTGTCTGCTGAAGTTCAAACCAAGGGCCAGAAAGTAAGAAATGTGACTTAAATCATGGTTGTAAGTCAGGCAGATGTTTCTTAAACTGCTGATCTACAGAGTGCTTCTTTCTTTCCAAAAAAAAGAGAGACAAAGAAAGAGCATGAAAGAAGGAATTGCTTCTTGCAAGGTAATAAAATGGACAGTGAGTGTATATAATTTGTGTGATAAATGTTCATGTTTTATCATTGTTAATATCAGTACACATGCTAAAAGGTACTATTTGCACATGGCAACGCTCCAAGACATGATTTGTAATATATTGGTTATTTAATGATGAACTGATTTAATAACTAAGCCAGTTATTCAGTCCCTTCACTCTAGTATCACAGTTAGAACATTTTAGAGTTCATTATTTTAAACCATAGTTTTAATTTTTTTTGTTTTAATTCCAGATACATGAATGAATCAAAAACTGAGCAAAAACTGGTTAAAGATGGAAACTACAAATTCATTCTTCTAACATGAGCCTTATGGGCCACAGGAAGCCACTGATAAGCGGCACAGTTAGAGATTAGTGAGGATCAAAGTGGACATTAAATAGGATGAGAAACACACTGATGCACTAATTATCAAGTCTGTGAAATATGATGAATTGCTTTGGATTTCAGAAACAACTTTACTGTGGCGTTAGTAAATATTTTCCATTGGCTCTACACGCTAACCCAATTCAAAACGATTTGTGACTGCAAAGGAGTAAATATGGATGTGGACAATTACACAAGTGATCAACTAGTGAAATATGCACAGGCCTGCAGTCTTGCCTTTCTGTCCTATCTCTCGCACACCTTACAACATTATTTTATTGCTGCTGAGCCCTGCAGGAAATCACTTGTGATGTCTCGTACCCTCCAAAAACATCATGAATAATGAATGGAAGATCTCAAAATAAATAACACACATTATTAATGTATTCAGAGCCTCATTTAGAGGGGGCAGCTGTATGTGCCACAGCACCCCTTTCTCACTAAATATGTGAGCATGTAGAATCACAAAGAACACTAAACAATGGGAAGGGTATTGTGCACTTCATCAAATCTGCAATGCAACTGTAAAATAACAAAACCAAATAATGGAGAAATGGGAATTTTAGAGCGAGGAGAAGTAGGGCGAACGTTGAGTGAAGAGTGTGTTGGAGTGGTCAAAAAAACTCCTGGGCTTTCAATGGGCAGATGGCACACTCAACGTTTTAGGTCACACAAACACAATTTTCACCCACCATTTATTCTTTGTCTGTCCACAGAGGACAGATTTATAGTGCATGATCCTGTAAATATCCGCAAAAACAACAAGAATCTCACTGAAGATTGTTTTTTGGGGTTCTGAGTTGTACCCAGTTCTCATGACCAGTGATCGTTCTAAATATGAAGGTTAGATCAGAAAAAGAAACTGAGGTTTGCTGTTTGTGCAACCGTGAAGTAGGTGGTCAAGAGGTGAATGAGGACGCAACTTAAAAAATTTAGTCAGTCAAATGATTTCTTGCTTTTGTTGCTAGAGCTGCAGAATTACACATGGCCACCAACCTCTGAGGGTGTTTTTAGTCATCTGGCCTCTGGTTGTGCAGCGTCTTTGGGTCCTCTGGGTTATTAGGAGAATTCTTGTTTCTTGTTCTGGTGCTTGTTTAGTTGAAATCTTGGAATTTGGGAGCAAAGTAAAAATTCTGGACTTTGTGTCAAGTTGTTCTTATGCACTTTTGGTGGTGAGGTACAGCACATTTTGTGCCTGGTCTGAAATTGTGTTTAGGTGGGCTATGGAATGAAGCCAACAGCTACAAAAATGCCAGGGCTCAGAGTGTCCCAGCAAAGCATTTTATTCTGATAAAATGTTGAAAAGCTTTTGTCACCGGTCACTGGTTTTGATATTTTGGCTGCTGAGTGTATAATCTATATAAAATGATACAGCTGCCAACATATGCATAATGTTTGGGCAACATTATATTATAGTTACATATGTCTACATTTTGTCCAGCCTGAGAAAAAGTTCAGGATGTACAAACATTTTCTTTTGAGTGACTGAACGAGACACGAAGAAATACCCAACATGATTATAACATTATCTAATTGCATCCCAACACATGAATTATTCAGCTCCTGACAATGCAATATTGTCATGGAAAGGAAGAGATGTTTGTGTTAAGCTGCCACTGGCACTACTTTTTTGCTCTCTTCTTACAAAACAAAAACTTTTTTCCAAGGGCGTCATTGCAAAGCGATAATAAAAGGAAGAAAAAATAAATAAAATAAAGGGCAATCATTGTGAAGCCTGCAACACCACTGTGTGTTTGTGTGTGTGTAATTCATATTGTTCTTGTTAGGCAATTATCATTTTTACAATGCCAATGGTGACCATTAGTCTGTAAGGGAGCATTCCTTGCCCTTGTCACTCTGAGAATGACTGGCCCCACACGTCTTACTCTGTACTAAAGCCACCTTCACCTCTTGCCTGATATGTGGTCTACCAGTGGTCAGCTTGAGAACAGCTGATTGGCTTGTCCAGCCATAGATATTCTAACTCAAGCAGCACTGGTGTCCTGCTGTATGATGAAACACTATAGCTAACTTTGACCACAGAGAATGTTCCTGCATACTTGTATTATAATAATAAAAAACGTTAGAAAGATCAAAAGGAGTGAAATGATATTCTCTACTTAAACAAAGAATTAATGGCAAATGCCTTTAGTTTTGTTTTTGCAATTCACATCAAATGTGCAAAAATTATATTTGCTAAATTATACTAAATTGATTGAATTTCCCACACCTTTCTGCTTTTAGACACTCGACATTTTCACGTGGTATCATTTTTAAAATTGAATGTGCCAAAGCAAAACTAAATAAATAAATTGTGTAACTGTGCAAATAGCTACAGTTCGTTGTGATGGTTTAGTTAAGAATATGTCTAATGGCGTGCTTGAATACTCAAGCGATTTTATACATTAAAAGGTTTAATTCATGCTCTGAGGCAAATATGTAGCAAGAAGATTTTACTGAAAAGGGGGGTTTACTTAATGATGTCTCCCTCAACTGGAAAGCAAAGAGGGCGGTGCTCTTTACTACCATATGCCAGACACACAGACAGGCAGGTCGACAGTTATGAAGACAGATGAATGATGCAACGCCTTCAGCACTGAGGGAAATGAGATCAGATGTTGACAGCTAGATCGACAGATCCCTGGTCTGGCATTCAAATGTTTTCTCACATCTCTTATTGCATGGTTCATGAATGGATACACTCTACAAGATAAGACATACTGTAACTGGCCTATCTGTAAATAAATGCTTTGCTTTTTTCCCTTTGCTCTATTATACATGCTGTATAATATACCTGAGTTTAGCATATGTGCAGTACAGCAGGTTGCCTAAGATAAACGCTTCACAAGCAATAATCTTCCTGAAGACCTGAAGTCTTTGGTGTCAGCCGCCATGTTAAAAAACTGCATCGTGTAGGCCTATTTCATAATTCATGTACAACTCAGCCAGCATTTATAAATAAGTTCTAAGGTGCTGAAGCCTGTGAGGGAATATAACACATATTAATCGACCTCCAGAATTGTCAAAGGTGTTTCTTCTCTTATCTGTCATTTTCATTTACTTTGTTTTATTTGCAGTATAGCATAGGCCCCTCTCTCCTGATGATTCTTACAGCATTTTAAAATACAAATAGACATGATATAAATAACCCAATATAAACAAAATCTAGTCTGTCATGGGAGAGCAGTCCTATGCGACAATCTGCCCGAGGCCATCATCAGAATACCATACACCTAACAGCAGAAGCGAACCAGTAGGTGGCAGTGGCGTCCCATTTGCAAGATACACATGGGAGGAATCTGTCTGTCTCTGCACTTAAGCTAAATCACTCTCTCTCTTTCTTCCTCTCTGTCGCTTGCTTGCTTGCTCGCCTGCTGGATGTTTTCTGCCACGCACGCACACACTAATAAACAACTATTTGTGTTTGTTTCCCCCTTTTTTAAACTGACCAGTGAATAAAAGGGGCGATGGTAAAGAATCGGTTAATGAATGCCAGTCTTCAGGACGACATGAACGCACACGGTGAAATTTTAGAAGCTGTAGAAGTTCAAAGAGAGCACCATGAAGACTGAAAGAGAGGGAAAACAATATCTCCTGCCCTCGCTGCTCCAGTCCTGCGGTTGACGGCAGAGTCGATCCACCAGCAGTGACTGGCGGAACAGTCTCAGTTGGAGAAAGCAGCTTGTCAGTGGGAGGTAACCTACATGATGCCCCCTCCTGAACTTATCAATTCATCGTCCGTCCGTGCTGCGCCCGGCGTTTTATTTTGGTACGAAAATGCTGAGCGCACTGAGGCACTGTAAAGCGCACCGATGGATACAGCCTGCTTGCGCGTCTTGGAACGGGTTATTTTGTGAAGCAGCCTAAAACACACGGCAGTCTACAAGAGAGAGAGGGGAAGCCTGGACTTGGACAACCACCCATTTGTGGATAATAACCCTAAAAAAAATTAAACATTAAATTAAAAAAACCTTACCCCGGTGTGTGTCACATCAATGGAGAGGCGAGGGTCGAATATCCGAAATATACAGCGGGGGCGCAGAAGTGATGACAGCCTTTGATGAACCATAACTCCCGTCCAGACAAGGTGAGATCAAAGCTCCGTTCGGAAAACATGTAAGAATAGCGCTTTTGGTGTATAACGAAGGCTCTTCACACTTGGGAGCCGCTGCCTGAATTTGTGATGGGGTTTTAAAGGCTTCTGAAGGATACCGCCTGGAATTTTTTCTTCCGATGCTGCATCCCAGAATAACGAATTTCCCTCTTAAATATGGAGAACGGAGCAATCTGAAGAGAGAGGTTATCTCTAATCGTGACAACTTTATCACTTCTCCAACCTACAGGATACCCTTTCAATCACTGTACTGCGGAACTTCTTTTTATCGGTAAAACCAGGAGGGGGAAGAGAAATAAGCATCTTGAAATCCGCACTGGGCTGTGCGGTGAAATTTAATCAGGGCTGATAGCTAAGAAGCAATAGGGACTTGATGAAAAGTTACATTTGACACGTAGGCGAGCAGTCGGGTTCTTAAAATAACCCCACCTTAACAGCTCAACGTATGGATGATGGTCTACCGTAAGGTCTACATGAAAGGCTTTAATAGCATATTATTGATATCAGAGAGAAAATAAAAAGTCGTCACTTGGAGAAAATCTTGGACCACAGTGGGCATCGCTTTGCCACGAGTTGTTTCAACAATGGCACTTGTGGGTGCCTTCTGAAATGTGCGTCTTGAAAAGGGAGGAAATATCGGATGCATTATCATCACTGTGAGAGTTAATTGCATTGCATCCGGACTAATGTTTGGATTACATACAAAGTCGTGTTGAGACGTGGAAGAAAATGAGTGTGAAAAGCAAAGGTAACAAAGGATTCTCCAAAACTGCCTGAGTATTGCGGATTTTTTTTTTCGATGCAGTTTTTGCGGAGGCAGCGGAAGAAGAGCTGTTCTTCGCCGGCGGAGATCTTCCAGACCTTGGCATTTCTCTGTAAATAAGTAAGTTATTGTTTATAATGTACTGGGAGGGAAAGCATATTTCTAAATGTCTTACTATTCTCTATAGTATAACTATCCTATTCAGCCCTTTCGCTCTGTTGGATGTCAAAATGCGGAAGTTTATCTTCGCTGTTTGATGATTGATATGTACAAAATCAGCACGCAGCGCTCCCGAGGTTTTGCCATTTATATTACTTATACTGCGACCTCTAACGAAGAGATATTTAATTGTAGGGTGATTCAGAGCATCATGGAATGACGCGCGCTTTCGCATTGGTGTGCTTGTTTTAACTGCGCGTCTTCGAGTGCGCAGTATCAAGATTAGATGTCTTAAACTCTTAAAAGAAAAAGGGAGAGACCGATTTGAGCCTCTAAATTAAACAGGTAAAGAAGAATCTTTGTGAATGGAAGTGAACTTAAAGCATCTGATTTTGGTTTTTCACACTGTAACGTGACTAAACGGGGACACGCCACCTGCAATCCCTACACCCGCCTATCAATCCATCCAGTCTGTACTTCTGTGCGCTCAACCTACTTTCAGTATAGGAAAGTCTGCCATGTTTTAGCACGTGTTCTTGTACGCTACAGCAACCGCGAAAAATACTTAACATCACCCAAAACATGTTCAAGTTAGATTTGAAAATCCAAGCTTTGGATGACCTAGCTGACGATTGATTAATGACCAAATATTGTGTTTTCTTCCTCTCCACCCTCCCCCTTCTTTTCTCGGGGTCCCTTACACAAAAAGCACTTGTTCACCGCCCTCCGTGGTAGCCGGAGAGGGAGCTGTCCTTTCTCCTGGTGCTGAAATTAAAAGTGGCGGCAGTCACTCATCCTCTACTCAGCTGGAAAAGGCATAGATGTTATAGATAATGGCTCAAAAATCACAACCACTAAAAAGGCTGAAGAATATCCTTGACTGTGTGCAACTAAGCAACAGATGTGATATTGGCGAAGTTCATAGCATTGTATGTGGCACAACATGTTTTGTAAATCATTTTGTAATCTGACTCATTTTACCTGCTCCTCGAATTAAAGATTAAACATTTTATTAAAGTATCAACCCCAGCACATATACATACACCACACCCACAACTCATAAAATATGCAGATAAGTACATGAAGTGCCACTGGTTTTGTGTTATGTTGGTGGTGGGCTTAAAAATAGATGTTTGTCAAGAAGGTGACAAACCAGTGTTGGTGGTAAAAGCATAAATAGAGGTGGCTGTCACTCTTGAGACAAAGAATAAATTGCATCTCTCACCTGTGAAAGTGAGAAACATGGCAGACATTATTCACCCACTTGAAAGGAAAGCCCTCCATATGATGGAGTGGCATCACCTTGGGGAGACAAATTAGACTGCTGATTTTATGTTTTTGCCCTGTCAGAGGCTTATGCAAGATAAATCCCCCCTACATTTTCCCAAGTTTGCTGATGTTTGTTGGCAGCTGGTACAGAGTGATTCATAGTAATAAGCAGAGAGACTATTCCTCCTCCCCATTTAACACTACTCAAACCTTTTTTTCATCCCCGTGGAGATTTTCTTGGAGAGGGAAGTGGGTTATAGCTATGGGTTGTAAGGATCCAGCCAAAAATAAGGAGCAACTGGGTTTGAAACTGACTGATTCACTGGGCCACTCTGGATTAGTGCTTGTTTATTTCACTACACTAGATGGACAACAACTGTATCTCCAGTGTGTCCCTATTAGTCCTTCTAAACAGTAGGAAATAGCCTTAGAGCAGGTGCAACTCAGGGACCAAGTGGGACTTTCCGCTGCTCACACAAATCCAGTCTTCGGCTGATGATGTTTCTACCATAGACATCTGTTTCATGTCCAATTTCTCTAGCCATTGTTGTCTGACTTATCTATTGAAAATCATTCCAAGCAGCCGCGTCAGAAAATTAATGAACTTGTCATCTGGGAAAGGGCACCATTGCAATAAGGTGCCAGGGTCTTGCAAAGCGACAGGCTGTATACCCATGTTCCCTCCCCACACTCCCTTTGTCATTTTCCCCCTCCTCAGCTTGTGACTCAGTTCAGATCAAGGCCAGCACTGTGTGCCTTATAATAAAATGTTCATTTTTCAAATCGGATTAATCTCTGTAAAGCCTGGCTTAGGACACCATTAGCATTCATTTCTTTCACTGCCGGGGACTTGTATCAATAATGGAACTACCCCTACATTTTTCATCTTCTCTGGGTATAAAATCTCTCAGGGGGTTTCATTCAGTGAGAAAGAGAACAGTTACAGTGATCCGTTATCTACTCCCTTTTGTATTGGAAACCAGCAGTGCGATGCTGGGGGTCTTGAGTGCTAGGCTAGATAGGAGCTGAAAGCCATGATGCTGGAGGTGAAAGGAGCCTTCATACGAAGATGATGTTGATAGATATGGTATAATTAATTATAATAATAATGGACTCAAGCTAAAACCATATACTTGCAGTAATAATTAATTGTGCTCTTAGCTTACGGTACATTTGGATTTTAGTATTGTGCATGTATTTTTATTAAACACCCCGTTGAGCATAACTATACATAGTGGCACAGGGTTTATGGCAATATTATATCCACATAGATATTATATTAGAGAAACTTGTAAGTGTGTGGAGCTCGAGAATAGGATAGAAGCAGCAAAAATATATTTTGAAGCTGTTGGAAGTGCATGTCTAAAATCCACAGTCATGGCTGATGACTGCAGATTTTAGACATGTGGGTGTGACATGTTGATTAATCGTGCATAGCTGAAGAGGTAGGCGAGAAGAGAGTCACCTTAAAGGAAACATCTGAAAGATGCTTTCATAAGCCAGCGGTGGATTACTACTAATGTGATGGCTACTGACACAGTGTTGCAAATCTGCATCTTATGCAGCTATTGTGAGTGTGATAAAGAAGCTAACCTCAGTTTCTTCTTCTGGATGACGCATGTAATCTTTTGAAGAGAGTGCTGTGGTAAAATGTGGGAATTTGTCACAGTTTTGTCACTGTAAGTGACTATATCAGTGGCTTCCTCATGTAGTCGTTACAGTACTCTACCACTGTGGAAGATCATCTGAACCTGAGATTTCTTTTTTATCAACTAAACACAAGCAAGCATCTTGGGCACAGCACAGCACACATGCACCATGAATGGTATCTGCAGCAGCCCTGCTCATTAGTCATCCTTTCCTGCATGTCTGTCTGAATGTTCTGTCCAAAAGAAAGAACAGCTGAGCAGGGGGACGGCCACAGCACATTCCACCATCCAATGGATTAATCAATTGGTGTTCCAGCTCAGCCCATCCAGCTCAGCCCATCCAGCTCAGCCCATCCATCTCAGCGAATAATCTGGGAGACATCATAAAAGTGCCATTCTATCATTCTAGAGGCCAGAGAGCATTGCTTCTTTTTTTCTGTCCCGGCTCCCACTCACATCGTGGGAACACTAGTAGACTGAATGAAATGTAGATAAGTGTACTCGGTGTGGCAACATTGTGCGGTGTTTGCTGGTGTTTTGAATCAACATAGATTCAAACATTTTTGCTACTGTGATTCATGGCTAATAAAGAATTCTTTCAACTCCATCACAATTGCTCTGATGCGTTGCTTCCCTTGTAAAATTCAGCTAAGAGCACTGACCTGAATTCAGGATGCGTCATTACTCACCGCTTGCCTTACATCACCCACCTTACCAGTCATGATGATGGTGTCTTTTCGACTTAGTAATCCTCACCTTCCTCTTCACTGCCAGTTTCTCTTTTCTTGACCTCACTGGAATGTCACATGCTACTAAAATGAGAGTGACAGCACCCGAGGTAGGAATGATGTGATGACTCGGTTAATAATATCTTGCTTAATAAGTACAGGGCAAACACAGACACATTCTTTCCCTCTTTCTTTCGCTGTCACACACATGCATGTGCACATGCACAGATACACACACTTCCACAGCAAATTAATATGTATGCACCACAGAGGAGTCATTCTTCCTGTCTTCAGGGCAACTGGGCAGTGTCTGTTTAAAGTGATACTGGCCCTGGCCTCCACATTAATTCTTGCTCTTAAATTAAAAGGTTAAATGAGGTGGGAATGGGTGCCAGGCTATCTCTT